GGCTATAACCGTATGTGTAGAATATTACCGCTATACGTATAATTGGCTATAACCGTATGTGTAGAATATTACCGCTATACGTATAATTGGCTATAACCGTATATGTAGAAGATTAACGCTATATGTATAATTGGCTATAGCCGTATATGTAGAAGATTAACGCTATATGTATAATTGGCTATAACCGTATGTGTAGAAGATTAACGATATACGTATAATTGGCTATAACCGTATATGTAGAAGATTAACGCTATATGTATAATTGGCTATAACCGTATGTGTAGAAGATTAACGCTATATGTATAATTGGCTATAACCGTATGTGTAGAAGATTAACGCTATATGTATAATTGGCTATAACCATATGTGTAGAAGATTAACGCTATATGTATAATTGGCTATAACCGTATGTGTAGAAATTAACGCTATACGTATAATTGGCTATAACCGTATGTGTAGAAGATTAACGCTATATGTATAATTGGCTATAACCGTATGTGTGGAAGATTAACGCTATATGTATAATTGGCTATTTAAATAAGCTTTTTAAATAACATTTATATTAGGATAATGTACGTACTTGGGGACCCAAGGAAGCCATTCTTCATGTGAGCTTTCCGTGCCCTTGGTCATCATCGGTGTGGATTGGTCAACATGGTTAGTACTGTCCGACAGTAGACTCAGTGTGATGGACGTGTCAACGTACAAATGTTCTCTATCAGACGTCGAGTCTCTCGTCGTCATTTGTTGAGCATCACGTTCATCAACTGACTCTGTAACTTGTTGACATGAATTAGAGTCAGTAACATCCGAGTTATTTGTTCCATTATATTTTTGTTCTACTAAAGCGTCAACATTTGAAAGGTCATTTGTTTCCCCGGATATTTTGTTCAAGAGCGGTTCGTTGTTGGTTTGTTCTCGATGATGTTCATTCGCTAAAGTTTCTCCAGGGTCTGTCAGTTGTTGGTTCTGTTTATTGAGAGTGTTGACGTGTTGTGGGGGGTCTTTAAAATCCTCACTTGGCAATGTCTCGTCCTTTAAAGAACAGTCGCTTTCTCTCGGATGCTGTCTCCATGGGGATAAATTTCTCCTTAAGTTATCTTGCTCCTGGTCTTGGTACTGTTTTAAGAGGATTGTTGTTGATTTCTGTAAAATAAACACAAACAACCTGATGCGTGTAGAAAGTCGTTCTGATGGCGGGTTTTTGATATTAACGTTATACGTATTTTCTGAAAGATTAGCATTAAATATATTTCAATGTTAAGTTATGTAAGGTAATAGATCCATTACATCGAGAAATTCATACCACTACATTTGAAAATCCAACCTAAAGCATGTTTTATCTTTTTCGTATTCACAGTAGTCAGTAAACATTTGTTAAAAGCATTCAAAGCTAAACGTCATAGTTACAGTTACACCAGTTTGATCATCGTTACGAATTGTACTTTGGTTTCGAGGAGTGAACTGCCTGTTGTAGGAAACCTTCCTTAAAATCAGATTATTACAAGTAAGTTAACTTATACCAGGTGAGAAACTAAGTTTATTACATTTTGAAAGTTTCCATACTACTCGGCCTAACTTGCATCACGATTTTATACTAAGGCTCCCCATATAAGTTTAGATGAATTGAAAAAATCCAGTATGTATATTTCTGTATTACTCATCGTGTGCTTACATTTAGTGCTGTTGTTGCTTTGCTGGCTGAGTCTCACGAACTTACCCTATTTTCATTGTAAATACCTTCTTTCTACATTATGTTTTCTGGCAGTAGCCAAAGTGCTACCATCTTTTGTTCTTTAGTGAGTTAAAGAAACTTGCCTTCTGGCTTTCTAACACTGACAAAATCGTTCCCGTCACCCTCTGATCTGAATATGATGATAGATTTTCACATCTGTAACTTAAATCAAGAGACAAATTGTGATAATTCCATGAATCATTTCCCTGCTTTGCCAAATGTTCTAAAGATGACCTTACTTCTTCATTTAACTTATATCATATATTCTAATGTTTTTTATGATGTAATAGGTGGTCGTACAATAATGTCCTTTGTTGAGAACCGCTTTTATTGTAGTTTATCAGGCTTAAAGTTGCAGAGAAAAATGTATTGCTTTGGTTTGGATAGGTTCCTCGAAAGTATACACAACGCCCATTTAGTTAAAGGTAGTCAATTATGATGTATCAAGTCTACTTCTATTGCCTGGCTTCGTATTGATGAACTTAGAAACGGATGGAAGTGCTTTCACTCAGCTCCGTGTAGGTTATTTAGTCTCAATGCTACTTCATTTTGTTGTGGTTCTAGTTACTATTGTTTTGGTCGAAGATTTCCCGAAGCTGTAGAACATACCCTTATATTTTAAAATTAAAAATAGGATCAAATTTTAACAAACACAATAAATAATTTTTATCTAGCCGACGGCCAAAATTAGAATATTACATGTTTCGGTAGCTTTACTTTACCATCATCAGGAGAACTGGTTGTGATGGTAGCTAAAGCTACCGAAACATGCAGTTTTTGTCCATACTTGTTTTAAAATCCATTTAAAAACAAATTGCTTAAGTTTCGTTTTCTACTATTCTTGCTCAGGAAAAGTAATCTTATTTGAGGCACAACCGAATGATAAGCCTAACTGGAAGTAAGATAATCTAAAAATATTTGTGTTACGAAAGATGATAAAAGTACGTGTATAAACGAAATCTGCACTACGTTGTTTCCTACCCCTAGAAAATCTGCACTACGTTGTTTCCTACCCCTAGAAATGAAAGATGATAAAAGTACGTGTATAAACGAAATCTGCACTACGTTGTTTCCTACCCCTAGAAATAAATAAACTCGTTAATTAATATTCCCTATCATCAGTGTAGCTAGACTGATGAGTTACAGTTTAGAACTCAGCTGGTCATATCAGATTTGTTATTTTAAGTATAAGTAATATTTTTCAATAATAGGGAAGTAATCCCGACAGCTACGCAAAACTAGAAAGATAGGTGGCCTCAAATATTACTTAATGAAAGACCAAATGGCAATTTAACGTAAGATCACCCTATGTCATGGATGTCCAACATAAAATTTAATGTAAACACACAACTTACTTCATGGATGTCCAATATAAAATTTAATGTAAACACACAACTTACTTCATGGATGTACCACACAAAATCTAATGGTAAACACACAACTTACTTCATGGATGCACTACACAAAATCTAATGTTAAACACACAACTTACTTCATGGATATACCACACAAAATCTAATGTTAAACACACAACTTACTTCATGGATGCACTACACAAAATCTAATGTTAAACACACAACTTACTTCATGGATGTACTACACAAAATCTGATGTTAAACACACAGCTTACTTCGTGGATGTACAACACAAAATCTAATGTTAAACACACAACTTACTTCATGGATGTACTACACAAAATCTGATGTTAAACAAACAACTTACTTCATGGATATACATCACAAAATCTACTGTTAAACACACAACTTACATCATGGATGCACTACACAAAATCTAATGTTAAACACACAACTTACTTCATGGATGTCCAACATAAAATCTAAAGTAAGCACACAACTTACTTCATGGATGTACTACACAAAATGTAATGTTAAACACACAACTTACTTCATGGATGTACTACACAAAATCCTACGTGACTGCATCTTAATTCACGGATGTCCAATATACAATTACATTTTCATAAACAATACACGATGCGACGTATATTCAACTTAAAATCAAATCTATGGACATCTTACAAACATAACTTATAATGTAGGCTCACTTTAATTCATAAATTCCCAACATAAAATATACCTTACCTTATGGATTCTCACCATACAGCTTAGCTTAATATACACAACTCACTTCACAGACGCGAAAACAAAATATTATGTACACATACATTTTAATTACTGGGCATTAGAAATACAATTGAATTGAATATATATTGGTCGTGGACATACACATACACCTTACTACATGAATGTCCAAACAAGAAATACAGTCTTGGCCAAAATGGTTGCATACTGTTCTATATATTGATGTTATTGTCTACATACATGGAGTAGTTATTGGGTAAATGCCCGAGTAGCAACAGAGAAGGTAGCATATGATCGGACAAACATGCACTAGTTGTTATCCTGGTCTGTATAAGTTATTGTCGTCAAACACACATACACACCTGTTTTGTATAAAAAGGGTGTCATTTTACTATAATCGTTTTTCGAAACAGATCAACGCTTTGTTCAGACAATGTTTCTGTACTTGGTGTACAGTCATGCCTCGTCACGTGCCAGAAGTTATAGGGCGTCAAATTATTCGACTGTCTAAAAATGGTATGACGTAAACGGACATTGCCAGAACAGTAGAGTAAACCCAGTGAACTGTATCCAGCATCCTAAAACGTCATCGGACTACAAAAAACGTTGTTCAAGGAAAGTCTACTGGTAGACGCCAAAAAGTTACTTCCCGAAATGGTCTTGCAACACCTTACGACAGGAATGGCATGGACACATTCATTTCAGGGTATCCAGAAGAATGGTGAATAGTAGACTGACCAAACAAGGTAATTTTAGAAGAAGAGCTATCTGCAAACTGATATGAACCAGAATTCACCATCGTCACCGTGTTACTTGGTTAAGACAGTATGCCAACTTACATTTAGATCACTGGCAACATGTAATATATTCAGATGAGTCCTGTTTCCGACTTGTTAAAACTGATGGTAGGATACATATTGGTCATTTGCCTGGAGAACAGATGAGGGACGACTGTACTTGCCCACAGGGAATACACAGGAGGTGGTGCAGTACATATTTGGGCAGCTGTTCATTATGGTGGAAAAGCTGCTCTTCATATCCTCCAGGGAAACGTCAATGGTGCCTCCTACAGGCATCGCATGGAGACGATGTTTCTGCTATATGCTTGGGCAAGGTTTGGCAATATCTTTTTGTTCCAGGATGACAATGTCACTGCCCACAGTTTGCATATTGTACAGGATTATCACAACCAAGTGGACGTTACAAGATTGCCATGGCCACCAAAGTCTCCAGACTGCAGCTCCATTGAGAACTGTTTTGCAGAGCTGAGCCAGAAATTTGCTAACCACGACCATATATCAGCTGCTGTCGCTGAGTTTTAGTGCCTTCTAGTGACAAAATGGGATGATATCACTGTGTATTACATCAATAACCTCATCTACAGCATACCACGTCGCCTTGCGTAAATTATTATTTATACTACGAGAAGGACAAACCAAGTACTGAATGTTTAATATGAACCAATATAAAATTACAGACGCTATTTATAGTAATTTGGTGTATTTATATATGTTTTGGGAAGATTTAGTTGCGATCGGTGAAATACTGAATTACACATCTTTCTACAGGTGTCTGATAAAATTGTTTGCTGTTCTAATAAATCGTTCATGATGTCCATAGAACCTATCTCATTATACAAGTTACATACGTAGTTGTTTAATGTAACATGGATTTCTCATGCTAATTGTATTTGTATTCCGTCTTAATAACACTGATATTATATGTTACAAATACGCAAACACTTAGGCCAAGACTGAATAGTGTGAACACACACAAAGCCTAATAAATAAACTCCGACACGTTTCCACTACACACACTATAATTCATGGATCTCCAACAGAGTATAGTAATATACACAATAGTTTTTATGCCTTTAAATACGAAATTTAATGTACATGAACGTTTTACGTAAATGTACTTAACAACTAACCGTTTACTTATGTCCGGTGTGACTATTTTAGTCACATTTCTTTGAATATGCGAGGTACCAGAAATGATGCCTTACATTCATGTTTTGCTTACGGTACGTGACGAAGAGTTATATTGTTATTCTGGCTTCTGTGGAGGAACTAATGCATAGTTTTGTTTCCTCAAGTAGCACGTGGTTGGTACTTTACCAACGTATTTTGTCAAAGTGTACTTACTTCAACGTACTGAGACATTTCAGAGCAAGGCTCTGTGTGTGTGTGTGTGTGTGTGTGTGTGTGTGTGTGTGTGTGTTTGCAGCACGTGCTCATGGACCTTCTTTTCTTTCGAGTGACGATGGACGCTGGTACGTAATTGCAGACTATATATATATATATATACACTTTTCATATAACTCTGTCTTAAACAACTCCATGTGTGGGTAGTGCATAGTATAAGTTCACGTGTCAGCTGTATCATGTGTTGCCTTATATATATATTCAAGTGTAAGCTATGCCGTGTGCAGCCATATATATATATATATATATTCAAGTGTAAGCTATGCCGTGTGCAGCCATATATATATATATATTCGAGTGTAAGCTGTGCCATGTGATGTTTTGGACCAATCCGAGTGGAAGCTTTACCATGTGTTGTCTTGGACCAATCCATGTGTAATTTTATCACATGTTATCATGGGTCAGCACAAGTGTAAGCTTTGCCTTGTGTTGTTTTAGATAAATCCGCTTAAAATAAAGTAGTGATATGTCAATATGACAAGGTACAAGAAAATTACTAACTTTTCAGCATAGTAAATGCATGTGTAGTATAATTTTACATGTACGTAACAATTAGGATAATTAAACATCAGTGTCTGTTAGGGTAATTAAACATCAGTGTCGGTAATGGTTTGTTTGCAGTATCTTACAAAATACGCATAGGTCAAGCATTGGTAATGTTATGGATTAAACAAAGTCCAACGTATTGATACTGGTTTCTATTAAAAGCGGAATGAAAAACAAACAAATGAGATATAGTTCAATTATTTTGTTTAACAATATCGTTTTATAACTAATAAAAAATAGATAACAACAACAAAAAACAGCTGCCAAAACTTTTACTATTAATGCTTGAACACCAAACAGAATAAATTCAAAAAAATAAATTTCCATAATCAGGACCGATCGAAGCAAATATATTTCACCAAATAGGAAATAGTCTCGAATCAAGATCAATCAGATTGATAACTGCTTTTTTTATTCATGAACTGGTCCGCTGGCTGGAGGTAAAATAATATATGGTGAACTCAAATTACACATGAGCTATCGGTGCTGTACCAACCACCAAGAGAAGTTGACTGTTGGTCTCGAAGACGATGTTCAGGATTGGCTATCTGGTTCTCCCACTCCCGAAGGATTTCTGAAAGAGTTTGTAACAGGTAATTTTTGACAGTTTATTTCAAATGTTTCAAAACAACAATAAATAAAGTAAAAAAGAAAAACTCATTTTTTTATGGAACTGTTGCAGAACATGTAAACCGAACACGAAATCAAAAATCATCAATACAACCTTTCGCATAACAAGTTCAAACGTTTCTTTAATTTGTAGATCTCAAATTTGAAAATCATTCTACTTAATACTAGTTATTAAGGATCAATTGAAGCTTTGTACTTTGGGAGAACTCTCCTGAAGAAGCTGTAAAGCGAAACGTTGGGTGCCCTATTAAATAAGCATAACAAATAAGGTCGTTTATTACTAATACTAGAAAAGTTTTATACACCAATATGCACTAAAGAAATTATAAAATCCTTCGAATTAGTTGGTTAACAGATGTAATCGACTGGTTTCTTTTGTAAAATACGGCAAATTTTGTTAGAGCTTACCAAGTCCGATGTTCTCTCGCACAAAAAAATAGTTACTTAATTTTTTTTTATTTCATACATTTTTTTGTTTATATAGCTACTAATTTTGAATAAGTCACTCTTAAAAAACTGAACTATTGCTAAAGAGTTAATTTCATTATAAATAAAAAGCCATTCATAGAAAAACATAGGAGGCTGTAGACAACTTTTTTTTATTCAGCCAATCAAGCAGAGAAAAAAATGCATAGGTCAATCCAAATAAAATGAAGTACTTCTCAGGTCATAAAAACATACTGGCCAGTAGCCTATCAGTAGCCCAGCTTGTTGCCAGCTAAGAGCGTCTTGCCTCTATATCTCATGGGTTAATTTGGTTTAGAAATGCAAGCCATTCGGGGACAAAATTAAGGAAACATCAGAATTGGGAGGAAAAAAGATACCGACGCAGTTCAGGTAAGTGTGTTTCTGATCTTGTTTGTTTGTTTGTTTTTTTTTCATTCCAGATCAATCAATAGCCCTTTTAAGTGCTAATTATTTCCTGTCACTACAAGGGGCGAAAATGACGTCAACCCCTGACCTCGGCGCGGACAGGCACGCGATCAATGGACACACATTGATCTATGCTATGGAGCAACTAATCATGATGGAGAATTGCTACAGCAACATGTCCGACTTCATTGACAGTGACCAGTTGGATAGAAACTCAGAGACCATCCCCATAAAGTTCACTACAAGGTTCCCTACAATATTATCAAGCCTCATCAAGAATAAATCCCCGGCGTTACCACCCAGCCCTTTCAGAAATAAGCCACTAGCGTTACCATCCAGCCCTGTTATGAAGAATGACAAGAAAGCCGTCAAGCCAGCAGAACCCAGCTCCTTCAATGCTTTGAGAATTGCCTCCGAAGATCAATTCGCCACCATTACAACCAGCAAAGACCAGTCACTGAACTCGCCAACAGCAGTATCGTAGAAGGAATCCCAATCTCTTACAGATACCCAGATATTGCTGCTGTTAAGCCCACTGGATGTCTAGGACTTGAAAAACTTGACATACTCTCGGGGATAGCGCGTTTGATACAAGTTCCATCCTCGGCTGGACCGAAGTTCACCATTCAAGTTCCCGGGGACTTCCAGGGCGAAACGACAATAGTCATCAAGAGTATCACTCAAAACCTCATTCCAGAGGAAATGAAGAAATCAAAGAATTCGACAGCCAAGCCTACTCGTAACCACAACAGAGAGAATAAAAGTCTTAAAACTGGGGAATTGACAACCCTAATCAGGAATCACGTTCTTCGAACCGAAGCAAGCTGGCCAACTGGTCAAGGATGGTATTACAGTGTTATTCATGCATCACGACGTCGAGGTCGCTAAATCAACCTTGCCAATTCTGCAATGTTTCATCGGCCAGAAATTGTCACACACGAGATATATACACTGCCAGGCCCAACTGCATGAGCTTTGGAGATCAGCATCCAGAGAAGGAATGGAATATCCCAGGAAGAAAGAAGATACCTGTTGCACCACCTGCAATGTACTGCACGTATCCTCCTGCCACGGAAATTCCAGCATCCTCCAAGTGGCCATGCCTGCCAAATGCCCCAAACAACCATCCCCTCAACAGAAGTCGGACCACAACCTCCATCCCACAGAAAATTGCAATTCACACTTACTAAAGTCGAGGCATCATATTCATCAGGAACAACCTGAAGATCGACCTCCGTCGGATCATCTCTACAAGGACTTACGCAGAAGTAATGAAGATGAGACCAGAAGCCAAACAAACGAAGACTAACTTCGTTGAATAGTTGGTTAAACATTTGGTTTGGTCTAAAGTTTCATTCGGTGGTAGTGTCCAGGGTCACTGATGAGGAGTGGAATTCTTCGAAACTAGTCTGGCCCACAGACACACACCCCCAATGAAAGAATAGACCATTCCAAGCTTTCACTTGTTGTTAAACAAATGTTTAAACAACTATTCAATTATGTACCAGCTGCCTAGTGTCGATTAAAAATACGAAGAATTAAATTGTGGCAGAATGCTACAAGTTCTTGAAATACCTATAGAATGATAGGTTTCTTTTTTGTGAGTGTAAAACACTTAAATACACCATTTCGAAAGACTAACTTCACTTTCATCATCGAATACATCGTAATTTTCTTTGCACACACCTTTATTGGTGTCCGCAACAAGAAAATCCACTCTATATCTCAACTCTTTAAAGAAGTTTGTTCAGCCTCTTCCTTCTACTTTGACCTAGTGACAACCAGATCCCGTTTCACTCAACGTGTATATCTCGCTACGCCAGTACAGAGCATACTCCAGATAACATTTTCCATTTCTTTTGTCTTATAAACATACAAGGTGATTTATATTATAAGATGTTTCAACGATGCAACAACCTAGAAGTTGGTGTTAATATCATAAACGGTACTCTTTTATTCGCTTCCAGCTGTTTTCAACTTCCAAATTATAATGTTCTATGAAAACCGAAACGTCCAGGCAACAGAGTTAATGCACTATTGTATAAAAGATTATAAACATACTTTTCCAATAAACCTACAACTACTGTGAACGAACACGTACGTAATATTCATAATCCCAACTTTACAGTTCACTCCTTACATTATAAATTTCACCCTCTATCACACCTGACAACACTTTTATGTAATCAGCAGTTGATCAAAATCCTCGGATCATCATCAAACACCCAGACTAACTGCTTCTCTAGTGGTAATGGTACTTTGGTACATCCGTTTATTGAAAATAATAACCTGATTATCTTAAATAACAACATACCCATATAAACGACCCTCAAGATATTCCATAGTTCCCTCTTCCCTTTAAACTCATGCTACAAAAGTCCAAGTCCATGAAAACATAGATTAAAATCATAAACGACCACATTCCGTCCTTTCGTACAATACCAAGGCTTATCAGGTTGGCAAGGATACGACAAACATAGTGGTCCGTGTATGTTATTACATACAGACAGATAAATCTAAGTTGTGTAATTAAAAGCCTTTATCTGAATTAAAAAACAATATTCATCCATCGTAACGTCACATAAAATCAAATTAAGAAAGTTATAAGTAAGTTTATTTAAATCATTCTAATATCTGTAGAAGGCTTACAGAATCGGCTCTCTGTATCTTTATGTGTGTGTATGTGTATGTTATACTGAACTAGTTCGTTATGTGAACTTCTAGTTCACATCATATCAGTTGTAGTTCATGCAACGTATGATGTAAATAATATCTCTTACATATACATACTACATTGTGTACATACGACCAACCAGCACCACAACTGGCACAAAAACAGATCCAAAAATAAAATAGTAGACTGGCGTATTCAATATTTGAAAGCTTTTATGACTTATTACGTAGAATCTCATTGTTAATGCACACTGCAGTAGTTTGATAAATTATTACGAAAACGGGTCATTTTCACGTAACAAAAACACCCCCAAAAAACAAAAAAAACCTTCAGTTGTTTTGAGTGGCTTTTTTTTAATCAGGAATTTAAAAAGGGGGATATAAAAAGAGGGTTTTACTGCTAAGTATCATTCCGTCACGAATTATCAGTTTCATTACATTGATCTATTAATAAATTTATCATAAGCATTACTTATAATTAATTAGAATATTTCGTGTTCGTGCCAAAAGTGGGAAATGTTACAGTAAACACGAGGTGCATAATGAAGGAAGAGGTCTATACGTTGCTCAATTTCCGGCTTTAAGTTTACTACATTTCGTAATTCCGAAATTATTCAGAACCACTAAGAGAAATACCGTACCCAATCCCAAAAACTATGTAATTAAAGGGATGTTGAAGATTTATGTAAAATGTCCAAAAAAAAGATAATAAATCATTAATACAACTATACAAACTCGTTCCATCGTAAACTAAAGTAGGTCGTCTGGGTCTGATGCGATTATGATTGTAATAACAACGTTCTAACGATAGCTCCCATACAGTAATCTGTAATAATTTGTAAATTGGTTCAAGCTATGTTACATATTTTAAGTAAGAGTATATTAAAGTAATATATCTGATAAAAGTTGGAGTTCCATAAGACATATTAATTAGAATAAATGTTAATTGTCTTTGTTCAATGTTTGTGCTCGTTATACTTTCCACGTTGCTATTTTTAGTTATACTTTACTTTCTCTACAATTGAGATAATTTATAATACACTTATTTGAAAATTACATCTTTTGTTAAAGTTTAAAATCTTTTTAATAGATTGTGTACACAAATTGTCCTCGTGTATTCATACACTTGAAAATAGCGGATACAGACCTGTCGAATTTCTTAAGAGAAGTAACGTACGTGAACCCTCTCCACAAACAGTGCTGTAAACAGACTGGGGAGAAAATCCCGGTTGACAAGTATGGTACAGCGCCACCACAGCATGGAGAAGATCTGTCGGAGAAGCCACCTAACAAGGAAATAAGAACCACCATTAATACAGGTTATATTAACTTGTTCAGAATAGTATACTTCTCAATTATAAATACGTTGTTACTCATTTGTTTATCCAATAGTTATCAATATTTATATATTTTAATATCTTTAAATATATACTCGTGCGAGTTTAATGTTTACTGAACGAGAATCTTTTACAGTGCACCTATATTTTGAAAATAATAATCACCATTAAAACGCATAATCATTACAATATCTTCTGAAATAAGAAGGCCAGTTATCATAATTCAGATAAGAGAATTTTAAAACATATTTTCAAAAGCCACATAACAACAACTCCTAATTTGCTGAAGCCATTAAGTTTTCCAAAACAAGTTCATTCGTAACCTGTTATGATAAATTAGTTGATAATTTTATTTTAAAATAATAAAAGATTTCTGAATACTTTTAATGTTAAAAAATAAACACGTTAAAACTATGAAATGATAAAGTAATGCAATAGCAAACATCAATAAACTTCTCTATATTATTTACAACTAATGTATTAAATGTACACACATAGGCAGACGAGTAAGGTACAGCGCCACCTTTAAATCTACAAGATTTATAAATAATGTTCTGTGGTGGTTACGTAATAAACACAATAAATATAAATATTTTTCCCAATAAGTATATTTTTGTTGACCTATATTTGCCATTCGTCAAACAAGCTTAGAAGTAAAAAATATCCTTGCTTTTGTGTTGTTTTTAAATTTTATTGGCTCAGAAAGTTTTTGAAGATGTTTAATGATGCAGATAATACTTAAATTTATAATTCTGCAATGTAACTGTTCTTTAACTAACATTGTCTGGTAGCAGGCGAGTTGCTAAATTATAAATTAAAAATACGTTTGGCGTTAGATTTAACACTGGTTGAAAAAACATTTCGTTGCAAAAGTACCACGATTTTATCTGTGAATCTGGATAACAATTATAATGTATTGTAAATGAAAATGTATGGGTTAGAATATTCCTTTGTTAATGATGGCTATTTTAAGAGTGAATTTGCTTGGATTACTGAAACTCCATAGAATGATAGATACTGAAAAAAAGGGAGGGGGGATTTCTCTACTTCTAAACAGGCGTTGCTAATTCAACTAAGGTTTACTTAAAAACACCCTGGAAGAGTAACTTGAACGTGAGTGAAAATTATTGAAATATCTGTACCTATACATTAACACACGTGAAATAGGTTTTAAGTGATCATTAAATATTCTGGCATATCGCGTTGGTTTAGGCTTAGAGTACAGTTTAAAAATACTGACGCATCTACACATGGTGTTTGTTTTGTTCGTTTTTTTTTTTATTTTCGCGCAAACTACACGAGGGCTATCAGCGCTAGCCGTCCCTAATTTAGCAGTGTAAGACTAGAGGGAAGGCAGCTAGTCATCACCACCCACCGCCAACTCTTGGGCTACTCTTTTACCAACGAATAGTGGGATTGACCGTCACATTATAACGCCCCCACAGCTGAAAGGGCGAGCATGTTTGGTAAGAGACGGGGATTCAAACCCGCGACCAATACTAAAACATGATATAGAAACACCTGCAACCTAATAAAATGTGACATTCGAACAGTGTTTAGGCACCTGTGAAAGTGTGAGATGGTAACAGAACGATTTTTTCAACGACCATTTGAATTAACGAATATTCTCTAAAGCTACACAAGAAAACCAAGTTTTGTTTGGTTTGAATTTTGGCTATCCGCGCTGTGACCGCCATGGGTATCTAAATCCGTATTCTAGCATTAGAAGCCCTCAGACTTACAGCTGAGCCACTGGAGGGCATGGCGATACGAACTATTGTGCCAGCAAACATTTCTGAAGTGGGGTGAACTTAAAAGGTCCAACTAAATCCAAATATTTACAAATCAAAAAGTTAGCGCATTAAAATAAATTCAAACATTCAAACGTAATCTTCGATGTCTCAGCAGTAACGTTAAGGGCGAATAAAACTAAAAAAAAAAAAATGGTAGTTTCAATACTCTTATTGGGAACAGCGCTTACAACCAAACTGTGAATATTTCTGATGATAACACTCAAACTCCGAACTCTGATCGTTCCATTAGTAATATAATCATTTTTTTTTAACCTTCAAAACAGGAGAGTAAGTTGAGACCAAATAAAACATAGGACCGTGTGGAAAACGTTTAATATTGATTTATATGAACATTCAGAACTCCTTCACTTTTAATCTGGTGAACAATTCGTTGCAGATACACCAAAATCATCATCCATCATTCCGAATACGTTTAATTTTTCCAAATAATGGTTCTACGAGATCAATGAGAATGGATGTCTCACGTTTTCTACCAAAAGCCTTTGTACATTTATGTAAGTTTTTTAGGTAATTGCTGCCGTACGAACGAGGTATTTAATGAAGAATGGAAGCGTGAAAATAATTACTTTTTTTTCATATATTCCCAGGAAGAAACTCCGATTGCATAAATTGCAAAATGTAACCCCGTACCTTCTACTTTGCTACACCGTAAACTCTAGACACGTCGTAACACACAGAACCAAACTAAGTCTCAACAAAAACAGAGAAACCCAGATCAATAGAACTGAACCCGAAAAATTATCTTCCCTCTCTATACTGCGGAAACTAGCAGTGACGTAATCATGGACGATATAAAGAGAAGTACACAAGACATCAATAATATTGATCAATCCAAAGTGTTCTAGTAAACACAATGAATATTGTACTTCTAGAGTAAAAATCTAAACACAAACTATTCCAATTCAATACAGTAGTAAATGTAACCTACTACACATGCACATGAATGCAAACGTGCACGTGAATGATAAAAATGGCTACTTCTCATTGGAGGATCAAATATTACTCGTAAAATCTTGGGGTATTCACTAAGCTGAGTATTATTTTTTGGTACTTGTGTATAATGTTAAATAATAAATAACCCACAATGTTAAAATAGGTACACAATTGAAAAAAAATAATTAAGGTCAATATATGACCACTAAAAAGTTGACTACATGTTTCGACGTCATCTTCGGGAGTGAGTTGCAAGTTGACTACATGTTTCGACGTCATCTTCGGGAGTGAGTTGCAAGTTGACTACATGTTTCGACGTCATCTTCGGGAGTGAGTTGCAAGTTGACTACATGTTTCAACG